AATCATGTGATGCCATTCTTATCTCGTGAATAATCTTAGCTCATCATCATATTCTATGTGATAGGCATTGATTTTCGGTGGTGAAGATTGTCTTCCTACAATTTTAGCTCGTCATCAAATCCCGGGCCTGGATATTGTTGTTGACCCATGTGCTGCGGTACTAGTCTTCGTTGTAACAGGGCTCTTGTGCATTGGAGTAAAGGAGGTATAAAATTTGAATGATTTAGGTAATATGGCTAGTACAAAGTAAACTCCGCAGAACCGGGGGTTTTAAAGTGAGATATCTCTTCTGTGCAGAGCACATTTGCTCAGGGAATTGTGACAACAGCAAATGTCTTTGTCATGCTATTTGTCATAGTAGTTGGTAGTTTTCTGTGTTTCAAGACAGGTTGGGCTGGTTATCAACTTCCAACGGGGTAAATTGAGCATTCGTTATGCTGCCACCATCGTATTTTAAGGTAGAAGCTATATGAAATGTATTGTTTTCTTGTTCCTTAGGTATTTTCCATACGGGGTTGATGGAATGCTTGCTGGATCTGCTACAGTCTTCTTTGCCTACATCGGATTTGATTCAGTTGCAAGTATGGCAGAGGAGGTCAGTTTGTCCCCAAAAAAATTGAATCTAATATATTGTTGCAGTATCATCTTTCTAAAGCTTTTAAGCACTGGTATAATGGCATATACTTACATTGCTATTTTATATGCAGGTGAAAAATCCCCAGCGGGATTTACCGCTGGGTATTGGTCTTTCACTCCTGATTTGTTGTTTCCTATACATGATGGTTTCTATTGTTATTGTTGGTTTAGTGCCCTATTCTAATATGGACCCTGACACCCCGATATCCTCTGCATTTGCTAGTCATGGAATTCAATGGGCTGCGTAAGTCTATGAATCGATTAAGATGTAATATTGTTCATTGACAAGGCTTGTATAGAGATTTTGATTTTTCCTGCTTTTTTCTTTTGTAGATATTTGATAACTCTAGGTGCTGTCATGGCTCTGTGTTCTGCTTTAATGGGCTCCATTCTCCCTCAGGTAAAGTAGAAATATAATTCAAATGTCAATTTCATATTTGTATAATTAAAGATTTAACGATCAGATGTTTGAAGAAAATATAGATGCTATGTGGATTTCTTTTGTACCGTGCTTCTGTTAAGTAACTGGTTCTTAAAATGGCGAAAGACCACTTCACAAAAGATGTTATTTATTTTCCAGCCACGGATTCTGATGGCAATGGCTAGAGATGGTCTGTTGCCTTCATTTTTCTCAGACGTCAACCAACGCACGCAGGTTCCTATTAAAGGGACCATAACAACTGGTTTTTGTGCAGCAATCTTAGCATTCTTTATGGATGTTTCACAACTGGCGGGCATGGTAATTAAGACACACTATGATTCACTATAATTGCCTGGCCCTTAAAACAATCGCACCATTTAGCCTGTAACTACTATTTGACAAGCTCTATTTGGTGTAGGTGAGTGTCGGGACACTTGTTGCATTTACAATGGTTGCAGTATCGGTGTTGATACTCAGATATGTTCCCCCAGATGAGGTATTAATGAGATTGGTACCGGTTAACTTATTCATTTCACCAAAGAACTACATTATATAAGAGACGTGATGAAAGAGAGAAGTCTCCTTGTTGACACAGCTACAATCGATTCCAACCCACGTAGGGTAATTACAATGCTCCTGCACTAGACTAACAAGGCTTTTATCAGGTACCTCTTCCGTCATCTCTTCAAGAGAGGATTCGTTCTGTTCCCTTCATATATGTTGAAGAAAACTCATCCAGTGACGTTGGCACTTCTGTTAGTAGCAGCCAACCTTTACTTTGCAAAACTGATGTTCCAGTTATGGAGAAGCAAGAAGCTCAAGGAGGTTGTAAGTTACTATTCATTCTTGTAGACAAGCTACATTTTGCTTATCACACTAAGAGAATCGGAGTGTGATAAGCAAAATTTTCACATGCGTGATTGATTCTGTAGGGGTTCTTACTAAAGAAAACAGAAGGAAAATCGCTGGTTGGAGCATTATGTTTACTTGTACAGGGAATTTCTTATTAACCTATGCAGCATCAAGCTTGCGCTTACCAGGGTTAGTTCATCATGTACCTGAGGCTATGTCTTTGACTGAGTTTGAAAAGTTGGGCGTTTTCTAGAATACTTAGTTCCATTTTATCCAAACTAATTACAGACTCTTCCGGTATTCTCTATGTGGTGTTGGTGGATTGCTCCTTCTTGTCGGTTTAATTGTGCTGAGTTGTGTAGATCAGGATGATGCCAGACACAGTTTTGGGCACTCTGGAGGTACTGATTTCCTAGATTTTCCTAAAAAATCAGCCTAATGTTTTGTTAGAAGCACTTTATTTGGCTACAAACCGGGAACTATGAAGTTTTGTATTGTGACACATAACTCTCTCGTTTTACAGGCTTCATTTGCCCATTTGTTCCACTTTTGCCTATTGTCTGCATTCTGATAAACATGTATCTCTTGGTAAACCTTGGGTGAGTAGGGCTCGTGACAGCAGATTTGTGAATACTAGGCGATGAGTTTACTTGAAATGTAACATCTTTCTCTTGCTAATAATGTGATAGAGCTGCGACATGGGCTCGTGTTTCGGTGTGGCTTCTCATCGGAGTACTTGTTTACCTGTTCTACGGGCGAAGACACAGCTCTCTTGTGGATGCAGTTTACGTCCCAACTGCTCGTGCCCAGGAGATTCGTCGCGCTTCTGGACATTCTTTGTCTTAATCTTCATGATATCATCAATGGGGACTCAATACATTATGTACATAGGGATTTTCCTTGGAAAAATCTGTAACAAAATCTGTAAATTGTATTATTTGGGATTGTTGTATAGATATAGTCATGTTGTAATTAAAAGTCGATGTCATTGCTCTGTTTAGAGCTATCTATAACTATTAAATCTTGGATGGAAATTATTTTTTTTACGGAGTTCCCTTGGTAAATACATTATTACCGAATTTCGGCTCGTATCGACCCGATTCACATGTCCGAGTTTAAATCTGCTCCCGTCTCTTTTGGCGTGTGTAAAAGAATGTTTCAATCATTTTTTAGAAAAAAATTCGGAGGTTTGGTGACGTAGGGGATGGCATGGATGATGAGCTAACTTATCAAGCGCCAAAACATGAGTGCTTACATTGTTAAGGAGTGACTTAGGGGTCAAGTCTATGATGGCTCATACCGGTTTAAACAGTTGGGAGATTGGAGACCTCGTCTATGATACTCAATGTATTGGGAAAAAAAACAAGAAAAATGACAAATCTATCTTATGTAAAAGAGAATGCGCACGATGAGAACACAACATGTTGGCAAAATTATAACTCACCAGATTATAATTGTTAATTTAGATGGTGACATGTGTCAATATTAACAAAAACTTGAAAAATGAATATAAGAAATATATATTATAAACAAGGATTATGGAACACATAACAAAAAAAAAATTGTCATACCAAAAAGGTAATACTTCTAAATTGTCATATTATAAAACACATTATTTCCATTTCAAATTATCTAAACTTTCAACCAAAACAAAATCTTTTATCAAATTGTCGAACAAAAAAATAGTTAAAGACAAAAAGAGATGTCATATTGCAAGTTTCATTTTGATAATATAGTAACGCGTATGAGACAATTTAGTATGAGATAAATATAACAAATTGACGATTTAATAATAATATAAATTTTAAATATTTGTGTGGATCATAACTTATAATATAATTACATTATTCAAACTATTGGAGTTATCAATTCCAAAATCAAAAATATTTACCGCAATACATTTTTATATGAGCTTGACATGTAAG